ATGTTGCAATATGACAGTATTTAATTACCTGCATGTCTCACATTATTAACAAATTAAATACCACCCCTGGGGCTGCTCTTCTAAAGCCCATGCAGAGCCCATGGCTCTCAGTTGCTGGCAGGCAGCATCCAGACATCCCATTTTGTCCCCCCAGGACCAGCAGCCCTCCCATGACACATGGTCCCTGAGGGCTCTGAAAATGCCTTGCAGGGAGGTCTCAGTGATCATCAGCAGAGGAAAACAACACCAGCTGACCAAGGCATGGGCAAACTGCCTCCAAAATTGTTTCCTGCTCGTGTCAGTCCTTTGGAAAGTCCCTGCCAAGGCAGCTGCTGAGCCCAAGGGAGATGCTCCAGGCAGTCCGGGACAAGCTGGGTGCTGTTTTCTGCCCCAGACGTTGCTCCCATGCTCCTGTGTGTCTTTCTAAGCCAGATCTATAACAGGTTTGGGGTTTGTTTGATTTTTTTTTCCTTCTGGCATAGCAGATCTTCCCACAGCACAGAGCTGCTTGCGGCGGGGCACCAGGGTGTTTAGGATCTGCTTAAAATGTTTAATTGTTTTCATGTCAAGTGTCTGATCATGTCTTTTAGATAGAAATGGGAGGGATGTAATGTCTCTCTCCCTGTTTCCTTCTCTTTCTTCCCTGCTTCCTTCCTCTCCCCCTCTCTTTCTCCTTCCATTTCTACCTTTCTTTAATCCTTACTTCTTCTCTTCCTCCCTTCCTTCTCTTCTTCTTCCCTAAAAATTTACTAATTTCTTCCTTATTACCTTTCTAAAAGCTCTCTTCAGTCACAGACAGCAGCAGACAAGGAGAAACTCAATGATAAGGGCAAAACCACCAGTAAAACTGGAATTAAATGATAGCCATAAACCCAGTACCAGGAGGGACAGTAAAACTGCAGTTTGGCAGGAGCCAGCAGACCTGCAATAATACCTTTCTTTTCTGATGAAAACACTCTGGTCACAGATTAACTTCCTTTGCTCAATATTTATTGTCTAACCTGCTCTGGAAGGTAGGGAGGCAAGAAGAGGGGTAGGCAGGACTGGGGATCTGCAGCAGGTCTGCAGCTCTGCAGCCTGTGGCTGGTGAAGGCCCCTGGTCACAGGTGACAACCCTGCCTCCAGTAGTTACTCTCCACCACTAAGTGCTCATTCCAAAGGGTGTCTGTGCACCGGGGCAGCATCCTGGAGTAGCACCCCAGGACTCAACCGTGACCACAGAAGGAGTCATTGTCAGAGCTGGGGTTGCTCTGGGTCCCCTAAAAACACTCAGGACAGGTATGACAACAGGGACAGGCACTGCTACAACCTGGGCAAGCACATTGATTTGTCTTAGTCCAGCCAAGGCTGCAGCAGCTCTGGGGAAACTACGTCCCGTTGTAGATTGACTCATTTGTTTCCATCACATCAGAAAACGGGATGAGACTAAATTCCCAGTCACACTCCCGTCAAGTGTCTCTACATCTCTGTATCCCCTGCTGGGTTTACCCCCTGCTCCTTGCAGAGCACAGGACAAGCCCTGTGGCCCTCTGCTAATCCCCCACACCTCTCCTAAAGTGCCACAGGGGGGAGCAAACGCCTCCATGCGCGTTTTTAATGCTTTAAATCTACACCTGAGTTTCTTCTCAGCTCTCCTCACTGCCCAGCTCATCTTTCAGGGCAGGGATTGCAGAGGATGTGTTTGCCCTGATGTTAGGGACACGGGGGCACAGGACAAGGGCTACCCCATCACAGGAATGTTTTTCCCAGGGTTATTTCCAATAGCTCCCCTGCAGAAGTGAAACTCCATCAAGGCACATCGCTACAGGCAATCCCAACAGGTCTGTTTCCCTTTGATGTTCCCAGGTCAGGAGCAACAGCCCCTCCACTCCACTGCACCTCTCTAGACATTTTTAATCTCCTCGCCAGAAACTTTCATTGATTACAACTGGACTGTAACTACCCACATGTAAAAAGGCTTCAGGGCTTTCCAGCAGGCAGTGATGGTTCCTATGAACTGCAACATCTCTGCATCTCCAACAGCTCCGTTCTCACCAGTCCAGCACCCCCCTGTGCCACATGAAAAGCTTGTTGCACCCTTCCAGCCTTTCCAGCCCTTGCGTGAGCTAGAAATATCAGGGCAAGACGAGGTGGATCCGCTGTGAGGAAGAGGTGGGGGCTCAGTGTTGCCAGGGTGCAGCCCTCACACCTTGCCATACTGCCCTAGTTTCCTCTACCTGCTGCTTTCTTCCACCCTGAATACTTCAGATGTCCTATTTTTTTATTATTTTATTTTGAAAGGGGGGAGCAAATTTTTTTTTTTCCTAAATAAAAAATAAAAGTAATTATTTCCCAGGTTGTCTCTGAGCTATTTCAGCTGTAGCTAAACTCCAGCAGCTGCTGCCTGCCAGGAAGGGCATCCCAGCACGGGTACGGGTGCTCCTCAGCACGCCCTGCCTCCCCAGCCCGTCCTCAATCACAACACAACAAACAGGTTGCTCGTTAGGCGCTGCTTAATTAAGCAATACGGATCCTGCCTCGATATTCGCAGCCCCCCTCGCCCTGATTTACTGGAGAGAGAGAGAGAGAGAGAGAGGGAGCGTCTCCTTTCCAGAGACGGCGACTGTAAAGTTTAATATCGCTTGACTTACTGCGAGTTGCAACGTTCGCAGCCCCAGGCCGAAGCGCTGCAGCCCGGGCTGGGAGCTGGTGGGCTCCTAAATCAGAGCTAACTGCGCGTGCAGGGAGATGACTGGCTTCGTTACGATCGGTTCAGCGGCTAATTACCCCAGTCTGGATTCAAGACGTTTAAAGCCAATTTGTTGCCGCATCTCCAGGGCCCTCGGGAAGGTATTCATTGAAATAAGTAACATTTTGGGGGGTAAAAAAAACGCATAAAAGAGAGCAAGGAGACACGCAGAATAAAAACAGGGTTTATGTAACCCCGAAACAGCAAGAACTGGAGGAAAACACGTCCCAGGCAGTCAGCAGCCCGTCCTTGAGACATGAGCCTGCAAATCAGATGGAAGGGATGGAAGGGAACATTCCCCACAACTTATCTTAGCTACAGTCTTGAGCACCAGGTAGAAAACACTGACTGATTGGACTCGCCACATTAACACCCCATCAGCATATTAATGAACTGTTAGCACACTAAAACACCCACCCACGGCTGGAGGGACCCCTGCTAACAACAGCCCCCCACTCTTTGAACAGGTATAGTGGAAGTTTTAAGCACTGTCACATTAAATGGCAGCAAAGAACTAGTTAACTTGTCACATATGAAATAATTTGACCTGTTTCTGTGTATAAAAGCAGCCCCCGTGTCTCAGGAAGCTGAGCTTGCTTTGTGGAATATCCCCCTGCTCACTTTTCTGTACAGAGCTGGATGTCACAGCAAGTATTTAAACTCTGTGTGGATCAGCTTCTTGCTCACTGGGTGACAGACCCTGCTTCTGGGCCACCACTAGGAGGGAAGAAATCTGTTCGCAAGACTCTGAGCTCGCACTGCCCATGCCACAGAGGGCAAGAAGCTGTGTACAGCAGTGGCTCCAAGCTCCAGAGTCACCCCAAAACATACCACCCCCTCCCCAAAACCCTTGAGCACCTGGGCAGCCCTGAGGCCGAATGGAGGGGTGGCTTGTGGGCTCTGGGATGGGGTGACAGGGGAGGAGGACAGGGTCAGCATGCAGGTGAGAACTGTGTCCAGCCTGACTCTCAGCCTCACACTGGCCCCCTTTCCTGCCCCAGCCCCATGGGTAGGGATGTGGGAGCAATGCTAAGATGGGGCAGGTGGGGTACTGCCCCCTTGTAGGCAGGAGAAGAGCATTTCTCTCCTCGCTAAGTATTTCTAGCCCCCAGGAGGCTGCTCATGGACTTGACAAGGATAGGGGCCTCATTAAGGAGTTATGAGAATGGCTCTTCAGTGACAAATAAAAACTATTTGTGCAAAGAAGCGACAGCAGATGGTGCTGGGCATCCCCCCCACATCAGCTGTGGTGCATCACTGTCCAGGACCTACGCCTGCAGAGCACCAGGAGTTCCATGGGGAAGGGGCTACAAGGGGGGGAAGAGAGCTGGTTGCAGCATCCCTCAGCTCATCCCAGGGATGGGACTACTGGTGCCCCACACCATGGGTAGGCACAGGGAAGCAGAAGAGAGGGAAGAGCACCATGAGCAGGGCTGGGTGCCCTTACAGCCTCCAGGCTAGCACAGAACCAGCCCCTTGCAGCTCCATCCAGCAGCCCCAGTACCTGCAGAAGGCAGGACCAGGGCTGCCCCAGGCAGAGAGGAGAAAGAGAAGCCACTCCAGGGTCAAGCACCCGGGCCAGCAGCCTCCATGCAGCAAGTTTGCCACGCCTCAGTCCTCTCCCAGAATCCAATTACTCCTGGGACCACATCAGCTCCTCTCTGCTTCCCACTCCTCCTGAAGCCTGCAGCAGTCAGAGATGGGCTCAGAGCTCCCCCCAGGGAGGAAGAGGAAGCAGCACAGAGACCGAGACAACAGCGAGCAACACGGAGCCACCAGCACAGCCCTTGCAGCCCCAGGACTGCTCACCCGACTGAGCTGGGGGTGCCCACTAGGGACCTCAAACTTCCCACTCAGGGCCAAGAGCCATGAGGGCACAGGCAAAGGCACTTTGCTTCCAGGTTTTATTGGCTGGGGGGTGGGGGACAGGCAGCACTCCCAGTCCCACCAGTAAGACTGGACTGGTAAGGAGGGTAAGCCCTTTAGTGGTGGTAGGAGTACACTGCAGGAGTGGAAGACACAGACTGAGATGGGGAAGGAGACAAGGAACAGCACTGCCTGTGTAAGGATGCCACAGGATTAGGACCGGGGTACCTGAACAGGCAAAACCAGTCCCCAAGCCAGACCAAGCTGTGACAAGGCTCAGGAGAAGCTGGGAGGTCATAGGGCTCAGAAGTGACATGAGTTCCCAGGCCTCAGCTCTCACCAACCCAGCTGACTCCTCTCCTTAGCCTCAGCCAGCAGAGCCAAGGTCAGGCTCCACTGCTCCCCATCAGGATGTCTCCTTGGTCCTCTGCTTGTAGTGCACCTCAGGGAGACTCCTCAGGCGCTCGGCTGCCTGTGGGACACGGCACAAGAGACAGGCACCAGCCCGGCTCAGGGGCAGGTCTGGCACAGGCCCCTCTAGCTCCCCACCATCCGTCCCAGTTGTGCTCACCTGCTCTGGGGTGAGGTCCCGCTGCACCTGCGCCAGCATCTCGTACCCCACCATGAACTTGCGGACGGTGGCAGAGCGGAGCAGTGGGGGGGAGTAGTGGGCATGGGGCTGCCCGTGCCCCCAGGCCTCCGGAGGGGACGGGGATGCAGATGAGAGGATGGTGGGGGGTCCCCCAGCCACGTCACTCACCGTGCCAGCCCATGGAGTAGGGGAAGGAGACTTCAAAGAGGTTGTCGTACTTGATGAGCAGCCTCTGCATGATGGAAGCCAGACCTGCAGGAGAGTGCCAGGGAGTCACAACCTGAGCCAGCCAGCCCCCTCCAAGGGCAGGCAGCACACTGGGGCCTGAGGGTATCACTCTCAGCACCCCTCCCAGGGTGGACATCAGCAACACACAGGCACAATATACTGGCCCATCCCTCCCCTCCCAACAGAGGCAGACAGCCCAGCCCAAAGAAAAGCCCCCCATTCCTCATCAGCTAGCACGCCAAAAGCCTGGGGCACCACAAAAAGGACACTGGTTCCCTCACCAGTACTGCCTACACCTGGACACCCAGCACTGGCCAAATGAAGGTGCCAGTCCCACCCCCACAGGCAGAGTCTGGCAGCCCAGCACCCCGGGGAGACAGAGACCCTGCAGACTCACTGTCCCTCTCGCCCTCGCGCAGGTCCTGGAGGCGCCCGACGTGACGGCGGGGCAGCAGCAGGGTTTGGTAGGGCCAAGTGGCCCAGTATGGCACCACAACCAGCCAGTCCACGTTCTCTACCACCAGCCGCTCCTGCAGGACACAGCACTTAATGGGAACGGGAACAAGCCTTGACACCACAGGGATGGGCACTAGCATGGGCTCTGCTCCGGGGAGCTGGGGGGGGGTCCTCCCCAGAACATACCCAGCTCCCAGGGAGAGGGATACAGACAACAGGCACACCCTCACCTTTCGGCGAGCCTCCTGCTCAGCATACTCCAGCAGCATGGGCACACCGTGCTGGCTCAGGTGTTGCCGCTGGGTCCGGTCCTCCAGGCGCGCCTCGTTGGGAAGGAAGCTACTGGCCCACACCTAGGAGGGACATGGAGGCACGGGGCTGGGTTACCTGTACCCCACATGTGCAGGGGGGTGCCCCTGCCACGCTGCCCATCAGCAGGTCCGCGCTGCCACCAGGTGGAGAGTCCGACAAGCGGCAGCCACAAGGGACCGTCCCCCGGAAGGGGAGGGGACAGCACGGGCGTGAGGGGATGCTCTTTGCAGAAAGCTCTGGGATCGGGAAGGAGAGTTTCCGTTCGCATCTTCCACCCGAGTTTGTTGTTGTAGGCTCGGCCACAGGCAGGGTAGGACAGCCTCACCTGGCAGTGGGGGTGTGGGTTGGAGCAGCCCATCATCGCTCCCTTGTTCTCGAAGATCTGTGGAGGAAGAGGTGCAGCCAGCAGGTCCCAGCCCCACTGTCCCTGGCACACCGGGACAACATCCCGCCTCACAGCAGAGCCTCACAGCTGCCTGGGAAGGCTCCAGGTGAGGACACGAGACCCACATGTGAACTGGGACTGCCCCACCTCCACCTGACATCCCCAGAGCAGGGAAAGAAGGGAGCCCACACCAGCTCCGGACCTGCACCCAGGGATAGGAGGAACCCAGCTCAGCTGCCAGCTCTGCCCATGTGTCGATGACAGCCCGGATCTCCGTCAGGGACATGAGGGGGAGCGTCAGGTCCGACCAGGGGTGGAAACACATCACCTTGCTGCAGAGGAGACACACGTGGCTGGGGCTGCAGCTCAGCCCTGGGGACCCTCACGACCCTGCCACGGCACAGTGGGACAGGGATGGGATCCCCAAAACGCCTCTGAAACACGGCGGGCGCGTACACGACAGGCAGCACAAGGAGGGGGGGGGGCTCGGCTTGGCTTCACCCTCAGGGTCCTGACTGACATCACAGCCCAGACCTGCTGGAGCCAGAGGGGTACTCACCACACCCCCCGGGCTGCTGCCGCTTGAAAC